TCCATCTGACAGAGACGGGAGATAACTCCGCAAAAACGCTGAGAACAAAAACACCTGACAGAGACGGGAGATAACTCCACAAAAACCTGAGAACAAACACATACTGACAGAGACGGGAGATAAATCCGCAAAAACGCTGAGAACAAAAACATCTGACAGAGACGGGAGATAACTCCACAAAAACCTGACAACCAACACATACTGACAGAGACGGGAGATAAATCCGCAAAAACGCTGAGAACAAAAACACCTGACAGATACGGGAGATAACTCCACAAAAACCTGACAACCAACACATACTGACAGAGACGGGAGATAAATCCGCAAAAACGCTGAGAACAAAAACATCTGACAGAGACGGGAGATAACTCCACAAAAACCTGACAACCAACACATACTGACAGAGACGGGAGATAAATCCGCAAAAACGCTGAGAACAAAAACATCTGACAGAGACGGGAGATAACTCCACAAAAACCTGAGAACAAACACAAACTGACAGAGACGGGAGATAAATCCGCAAAAACGCTGAGAACAAAAACATCTGACAGAGACGGGAGATAACTCCACAAAAACCTGAGAACAAACACATACTGACAGAGACGGGAGATAAATCCGCAAAAACGCTGAGAACAAAAACATCTGACAGAGACGGGAGATAACTCCACAAAAACCTGAGAACAAACACATACTGACAGAGACGGGAGATAAATCCGCAAAAACGCTGAGAACAAACACATCTGACAGAGACGGGAGATATATTCGCAAAAACGCCGAGAACAAACGCATTTGGTAGAGACGGGAGGTAACTCCACAAAAACGATAACTGTGATAAGTATTTTATGTAATGATTTTCAACTTTCTACTATATAACGCGATTGTCTACCAAGGTAAAAAAATATAAAATCAGTGCTGTGCTTTTTGACACTAAACAATCATTTACAAAACCCAGAATGGAGTCTCTCTATATTTGGTGATTTGTGAAAGCCCCTAATCTCACTTCCATATTCTAGCATGCATTGGAATGTATATTAAACAGGGCATTTTTGTAACATTAAAACTATTTTACAATTTACGGTTATTTGCGTATCCTGGTTATATTTGCTGGTTAGCAACTTGCCCCTGAGTTGCGGTAAATTTCCCGTTGATACCATAGTTTCATTCATGAACTATACACCTATTTCTTGGATGGCATAAGTATATTTTTCTACGTCTCTTGTGTTCCTTCCATTTAAAGAAAATAATCATCTTAATGTTGATATCTAGTTGACAGAATAAAGAGAATGCAAAAGTTTCTAAAATACTTCTGGTGTCTCCGCAATCAATACAGTGTCATCGGCAATCAATACGGTGTCGTCCACAATCAATACAGTGTCGTCCGCAATCAATACGATGTCGTCCACAATCAATACAGTGCCGTCCACAATCGATACAGTACCGTACGCAATCAATACAATGTTGTCCGCAATCGATACAGTGTCGTCCGCAATCAATACGGTGTCGTCCACAATCAATACAGTGTCGTCCGCAATCAATACGGTGTCGTCCGCAATCAATACGGTGTCGTCCACAATCAATACAGTGTCGTCCACAATCGATATAGTGTCGTCCGCAATCGATACGGTGTCGTCCGCAATCAATACAGTGTCGTCCACAATCGATACAGTGTCGTCCCCAATCGATAGTGTCGTCCGCAATCAATACGGTGTCGTCCACAATCAATACAGTGTCGTCCGCAATCAATACAGTGTCGTCCACAATCAATACAGTGTCGTCCACAATCGATACAGTGTCGTCCGCAATCGATACGGTGTCGTCCGCAATCGATACGGTGTCGTCCGCAATCGATACGGTGTCGTCCACAATCAATACAGTGTCGTCCACAATCGATACAGTGTCGTCCGCAATCGATAGTGTCGTCCGCAATCAATACCGTGTCGTCAGCAATCAATACACTGTCGTCCGCAATCAATACAGTGTCGTCCACAATCAATACGGTGTCGTCCACAATCAATACAGTGTCGTCCGCAATCAATACAGTGTCGTCCACAATCAATACAGTGTCGTCCGCAATCGATACAGTGTCGTCCACAATCAATACCATGTCGTCCGCAATCGATACAGTGTCGTCCGCAATCGATACAGTGTCGTCCGCAATCGATACGGTGTCGTCCGCAATCAATACCGTGTCGTCCACAATCAATACAGTGTCGTCCACAATCAATACAGTGTCGTCCGCAATCAATACAATGTCGTCCTCAATCAATACGGTGTCGTCCACAATCAATACAATGTCGTCCGCAATCAATAAAATGTCGTCCACAATCAATACAGTGTCGTCCACAATCAATACAGTGTCGTCCACAATCAATACCGTGTCGTCCGCAATTGATACAGTGTCATCCGCAATCGATACGGTGTCGTACGCAATCAATACGGTGTCGTCCACAATCAATACGGTGTCGTCCACAATCAATACCGTGTCGTCCACAATCAATACGGTGTCGTCCACAATCAATACCGTGTCGTCCACAATCAATACGGTGTCGTCCACAATCAATACAGTTTCGTCCTCAATCAATATAGTTTCGTCCAGATTATTGATGTTTTAAGTATACAAGCAGCTGAAACTAAAATATTTATTAAACTGCTTTGGATTATTTTGTCGGCCTAATTCCTGTCACTTTCATATCTCTTCTGTTCTTTCTGTCGAAGCCCTATAATTAACTGGTGACCTATCACAGTTTAATACTGACAGGGAATTTTCATATTCTCGATGCCTATTTCTACACTCATTTGGCATATTGTAAATCGCTTAGATTTCGCAAATACATTAATTCACAAAAGGTGATCTAAAACTGAATTTACATTCGCGAATGATAGCTTATCACATATATGGACTCATGTTGGTAGCCGATCCAAAATGGATATCATTTAGAGTTCTCGTACAAACAATCCAGAGGAATTGGAATTCGCGTTTGACTCTCCTCGCTATTAACGCGAAAATAAATCCTATGCGAAACAGAAGTGATTAACAGTCAAAACATTGTTTACCAAAATACAAAAATTGTTGATCATTTTGTCAACGTAGAGGGACCAAGTACCATGAATCCCATATAAAGGGTTGTGCTGTCCATTTGAGACACGGGTGTTGGGTAAACACGTGCTTTTCGTGGTCTTGTAGTCGTCAGTAAATCTTGTTCTACGTTCTTTTTAACTAACATTATATAGGTTACAGCATTATCCTGGATATGGAAGGATTTTACAGATTTTTGACGTCTAACACACTGGATGGTTAATTAGAATCAAAGGTAAAAGGTTTGTGTTTTTGTTCTACTCAAAAGACAAAAATGAAACATTGGTGGTCGGGTGGCGCAGTGGTAACGTATTCGCCTTTCACCTAGAAGTCCAAGGTTCAATTCCCGAAATGGACGTGAAACGGCAAAGCGTCATCTGCCGAACTACGAGGGTTTCCACGGATACTCAAGTTTCCTCCCACAGTAAGACCACTCACGCACTTACTTGAGGGTCGACAAGAGTGATTAGTATAAGTTGAAATAATTGTCTCACAACTGGTAAAATCAAAAAAAAGTTTAAAGAGAAACGGAACAAGTTAGGAGCACACTCTCAAACATTTCCAAGAAGCAGGAAGGTGTTATAAAGTAAAGTCTGGCCGGTTCTGTTAACCAGTCATCATTGAAGTTCGGCAAATAACCAAGAAATTGTCACATTTTTAGGTCATCTGACCCGAAGGGTCGAGATGACCTATAGCCATCGTGCTTCGTCCGCCGTCGTCTGCCGTGTGTCGTCCGTAAACTTTTCATTCAAAAAACTTCTTCTCAAATACTAGAAGGCCTAGGGGGCTAATACTTGGCCCATAGCATGCTGGCATGAAGCCCTACAAAGTTTGTTCAAATTAATGACCTTGACCCACTTTCAAGGTCACAGGGGTCAAATATGTTAAAATATACAAACGACTTCTCAATAAGCAAAAGTCCATGAGTGCTGATATTGGGCCTGTAGGATGCTTGGAGGAAAGGTTACCAAGTTTGTTCAAATGAATGACCTCGACCCACTTTTAATTTTATGGGATATACATTTTATGACATGTATGGTTGTCAAGATGCTTGAAAACTATACTATTCACAAAAAAGATAAGGAGCATATGTGATTTTTTTCTGCCATTAAGATAAATTAAGCTGGACACCTTTACCACTGCTCTATCACCAATGAATGCACAATAACTTTTCGGTGACGATTTTCCAGTACAACCTAAAGTAAACTGTCGCAAGACATCATGTAACACAGAAGGTTAAAATCAAACTGTCATTTGTGGTTTTATTGAATGAACTTAGTGACGAATATTTTCTTTTGAATGTTTGACCCTCAGTTCCAAAGGAGCCACACCTTGCTGTATGATGATGGACGAATTTATAGATGGTAGATTTGATTGATGTTGCAGATGGTGGATTTGATTGAGGAATGTTGTAGACGGTGAAGTTGATTGAGGAATGTTGTAGACGGTGAATTTGACTGAGGAATGTTGTAGATGGTGGATTTGATTGAGGAATGTTGTAGACGGTGAATTTGATTGAGGAATGTTGTAGACGGTGAATTTGATTGAGGAATGTTGTAGATGGTGATTGATGTTGTAGATGGTGAGGAATGTTGTAGATGGTGGATTTGATTGAGGAATGTTGTAGATGGTGGATTTGATTGAGGAATGTTGTAGATGGTGGATTTAATTGAGGAATGTTGTAGATGGTGGATTTGATTGAGGAATGTTGTAGATGGTGGATTTGATTGAGGAATGTTGTAGATGGTGGATTTAATTGAGGAATGTTGTAGATGGTGGATTTGATTGAGGAATGTTGTAGACGGTGAATTTGATTGAGAACCAGAAACCAGAAATACAAAGTGTCTACTTTATGTGTGGAGTGTTACTGTCACAAACAAGAAATACAAACTGTCTACTTTATGTGTGGAGTGTTACTGTCACAAACAAGAAATACAAACTGTCTACTTATGTTTGGAGATGTTGTGGTCACAAACCAGAAATATAAACAGTCTACTTATGTTTGGAGATGTTGTGGTCACAAACAAGAAATATAAACAGTCTACGTGTAACTACAGACGAGTGCTGACAGGAAAACGGACTTCCATGAAGTGCTGACAGGAAAACGGACTTCCATGAAGTGCTGACAGGAAAACGGACTTCCATGAAATCTGTACTGTATTCAACATAGAAGAACAATGTATAAAATATTCTAGTTTTATTTTCCTTTTTTCTTTTTCCACTTTTTCTTCTTTTTCTCAATCCCAGACTTAGCATTCTGTGAGGCTAGTCTTATTTTGTCCATCATTTTTTGTTGACTCTTTTTGTCATTTTTCACATTTTCTATTGCATCTCTAGTCATATCTGAAAAAAATATAATAATCATTATGAGATTGTTGAATAAAAACAGGAAATAACTGTATACACCTGGGGTATGGGACATCACTAAGCTTCATACACCCTGTACACACCTGGGGTATGGGACATCACTAAGCTTTATACACCCTGTACACACCTGGGGTATGGGACATCACTAAGCTTTATACATCCTGTACACACCTGGGGTATGGGACATCACTAAGCTTTATATATCCTGTACACACCTGGGGTATGGGACATCACTAAGCTTTATATATCCTGTACACACCTGGGGTATGGGACATCACTAAGCTTTATATATCCTGTACACACCTGGGGTATGGGACATCACTAAGCTTTATACACCCTGTACACACCTGGGGTATGGGACATCACTAAGCTTTATACACCCTGTACACACCTGGGGTATGGGACATCACTAAACCTTATACATCCTGTACACACCTGGGGTATGGGACATCACTAAGCTTTATACATCCTGTACACACCTGGGGTATGGGACATCACTAAGCTTTATACATCCTGTACACACCTGGGGTATGGGACATCACTAAGCTTTATATATCCTGTACACACCTGGGGTATGGGACATCACTAAGCTTTATATATCCTGTACACACCTGGGGTATGGGACATCACTAAGCTTTATACACCCTGTACACACCTGGGGTATGGGACATCACTAAGCTTTATATATCCTGTACACACCTGGGGTATGGGACATCACTAAGCTTTATACATCCTGTACACACCTGGGGTATGGGACATCACTAAGCTTTATACATCCTGTACACACCTGGGGTATGGGACATCACTAAGCTTTATACATCCTGTACACACCTGGGGTATGGGACATCACTAAGCTTTATATATCCTGTACACACCTGGGGTATGGGACATCACAAAGCTTGATATATCCTGTACACACCTGGGGTATGGGACATCACTAAGCTTTATACATCCTGTACACACCTGGGGTATGGGACATCACTAAGCTTTATATATCCTGTACACACCTGGGGTATGGGACATCACTAAGCTTTATATATCCTGTACACACCTGGGGTATGGGACATCACTAAGCCTTATATATCCTGTACACACCAGGGGTATGGGACATCACAAAGCTTTATATATCCTGTACATACCTGGGGTATGGGACATCACTAAGCTTCATACACCCTGTACACACCTGGGGTATGGGACATCACTATGCTTCATACACCCTGTACACACCTGGGGTATGGGACATCACTAAGCTTTATACATCCTGTACACACCTGGGGTATGGGACATCACTAAGCTTTATATATCCTGTACACACCTGGGGTATGGGACATCACTAAGCTTTATATATCCTGTACACACCTGGGGTATGGGACATCACTAAGCTTTATATATCCTGTACACACCTGGGGTATGGGACATCACTAAGCTTCATACACCCTGTACACACCTGGGGTATGGGACATCACTATGCTTCATACACCCTGTACACACCTGGGGTATGGGACATCACTAAGCTTTATACACCCTGTACACACCTGGGGTATGGGACATCACTAAGCTTTATATATCCTGTACACACCTGGGGTATGGGACATCACTAAGCTTCATACACCCTGTACATACCTGGGGTATGGGACATCACTATGCTTCATACACCCTGTACACACCTGGGGTATGGGACATCACTAAGCTTTATACACCCTGTACACACCTGGGGTATGGGACATCACTAAGCTTTATATATCCTGTACACACCTGGGGTATGGGACATCACTAAGCTTTATATATCCTGTACACACCTGGGGTATGGGACATCACTAAGCCTTATATATCCTGTACATACCAGGGGTATGGGGTATCACTAAGCCTTACATATCCTGTACATACCTTGGGTGTGGGGCATCACAAGGTGCCCCGTCCGTGTAGGGTACTTTCCAGAAAAGTTTTTCGGGATGACAGTTGACTGTATTGTAGCCTTGAGTTCTGCCTTCAGGTTCTGAATAAGAAGTTTCTGTTGTGACTGTTCTCGTGAATCTCCTAGATAATGCAGTCTGATTCATAGGTCAAGGCTATTATAACCAAATACATTTCTGTGGTAAACATCTTCCTTGTGTTAAAGGATGGGGCACAGGACTTCATATTAAAAGGAACTTATATTTTTCATGTTTTCTCCCTTCTTCTGACTTTTGTCTTTTTGCTTAAAGTTATAAGCTGAAAACACAAATATTTCAAAAGGATCATGAAGTTGCCCATGGTTTTAACTTAATTTGAATTCCAACTGGCAAAAAATTAAAACATTGTGAAAAAAACAACCTAGATATTTTAGAGTGAATGAAAAATAACAAAATAAATTACCACAGTCACACAAGGATTATCACAGTCAGACAAGGGTTACCACAGTCACAAAAAGTTTACAAAGCCAAACAAGGGTTACCACAGTCACACAAGGATTATCACAGTCAGACAAGGGTTACCATAGTCACACAAGGATAACATAGCCAAACAAGGGTTACCACAGTCACACAAGGATTATCACAGACAAGGGTTACCACGGTCACAAAAGGATTACATAGCCAAACAAGGGTTACCACAGTCACACAAGGATTATCACAGTCAGACAAGGGTTACCATAGTCACACAAGGATAACATAGCCAAACAAGGGTTACCACAGTCACACAAGGATTATCACAGTCAGACAAGGGTTACTATAGTCACACAAAGATAACATAGCCAAACAAGGGTTACCACAGTCACACAAGGATTATCACAGACAAGGGTTACCACAGTCACAAAAGGATTACATAGCCAAACAAGGGTTACCACAGTCACACAAGGATTCCGATGGCCAAACAAGGTTACCACAGTAACACAAGGATTCCGATGGCCAAACAAGGGTTACCACAGTTACACAAGGATTATCACAGACAAGGTTTACCACAGTCACACAAGGATTTCTGATGGCCAAACAAGGTTACCACAGTAACACAAAAATTACCATAGCCATACCGCCTTAGTAAAACAAGGATAATTATAAACTGGATTGCCTGGTGTAGTTTTTCTACTCTCCTCTAGACATCTCTCCATAAATAAAATGACAAGTCTTGGCTAACAATCCAGTTATATTGATTGGCCAATATTAATATTTACCAATATATACCAATTTTCCAATATTTACTTTTCCAAGATTGCAATTTTTGCATTTTCACAGAAAAATTCAAATAACTCTATTCAACAATCAGTAAAATGTAGGCAAATACTGTTTCCTGTATAATGACTATTCAAAGAGAATGTGATGGTTTCCCGCAGAGGCTTGACGTGTTCATTATTTTCAACATCACATCACTGATGCAAACTAAGCAAGTTATCATTTGAAACAGTATTTCTACAAGGAAGTAAACATTGAGTTTTCTATAAAATGATTTTCAATACATTTACCATGGCGATTACTCAATAATAATGGCAGACACTTCATCTGTCGCACACTGCCATTGTAAAACAAGGGAATTCCAAGTCTCAAATCCAACCAAAGATTTGTTAAATGAATTGACTTATCAGTGTAGTTTGGTTGAAATCTTGAGCAAGATGGCAGCCCTGACCCATCTTTGTTTCAACTAGGGGAGAAAACTTGTCACTAAAATAGGAAATCAAATCTCAGATTATCACAGTTATACCAAAAATACCATTGTCACAAAATGTTGACCAGTCACAAAATGTTTACCACAGTCACGAAATTTACCACAGTCACGAAATGTTTACCACAGTCACCAAATGTTTACCACAGTCACAAAATGTTTACCACAATCACAAAATGTTTACCACTCTCACGAAATGATTACCAGTCACAAAAATGTTTACCACAGTCACAAAAATGTTTACCACAGTCACAAAATGTTTACCATTGTCACAAAATGTTTACCACAGTCACAAAATGTTTACCACTGTAACAAAATGTTTACCACAGTTACAAAATGTTTACAAGTCACAAAATGTTAACCTGACAATAAGAATCAATCACAACAGACTGTGGAGTGATGGTTTATAGGGTTTATTATACCGTCTACCGGTTTCGCCCTCCCGGGCTTCTTCAGGACGACAACATGAATTTTCTCCCCCCTAAAGTACATGAAATGCGGCTCCCTCAAATTTATAAATAGTACATGTGTTATTTTGACGTAACAATTCAAAGTCCGTTCACTGTAGTATATGATGCTAGCTCTATGTAACAAGAATTACTGTACGTCCTGTACTCTATACTTAAAGATTCTACATGTTATCAGTTATAAATTACACTATCTCCATCACGGTTAGTAGGTTAATGAGTCAATTCTTCACTATAATCCTATCAGTGTTCATCAAAACACAGTGTGGATGTAGATGCCGAAACATAATTATATTGTTTATAATCTCTCTTCTCTCCCATATATTCGCTTTCTGAGGTATTGGCCATGGATCCTGATGCTTCTGAAGAGTCGTCGCTTAGGGCGAGGTCCTCCTTCAACTGCTCAATTGCCTAGTCCAGTACCGGTCTGGATTTCTCGCGTGGTCCTCCGCCGATAATCTGCCGTCCCGGCACAACCCGGAACTTTACTAAATCTAGTTGAGACTTAGTAAGACTCTCAAATGGTCTCTTGTTGGATGGTGCTTTCGCCTCCTCCCTAGTATTGTCTTGTATTATTTCTGGTTCAACCTTGTACATGGGATGTTCCGATTTCTGATGTCTTAAGTAGTCTGAGTTTCTTCCATAAGACCTTTTGCAGATCTTACATTTATACCAGGTCTTTGTGGATGAGTGATTAACATTTACGTGCCTCCTCAGGCTCTTGATGCTGGCATAGCTTTTTCCGCATAAAATACATGGAATCCTAGGCTTCCACCCGGATTCCGAGGTTTTCCTTGGTGTGGTCTTCGTCTTCACCATTGTTACGTTATTATGTTAAGCCCTTCCGGTTGCTCCGTTCTTAATATCCGTATGTAACTCTCCTCTAGACGTAGCCTGCGGTTGACGTCGTGTATACTCGTTGCCACGCCAATAACGATGACGTCACTGGTATTGTGACCCGACATACAGAAATGTCCCGCCACAGGTTTGTCCAGATCCGAGTGTATGATGGAGTATAGGTGATTTCTGATGCGTGTATTGATCGTCGTTGATGTTTGACCGACGTATTGTATCCCGCATTTTTTGCAAGAGATCAGATATATGGCGTTCGTACTTTGACAGTTTATATTTCCCCGTACCTTATACGTTTCCTTCGTGGAATGACTGGTAAAAGTTTCAGTGGGTTTCATATGGCTACAAATTTTGCAGTTCCGACCGCACGGGCCGCTCCCGCTAGTGAGGGCCGTGCCGCGGTTTATGTCACTTTTAACTAAAATATCCCTGATAGATTTTGGTTTGGTGCAGGCTACCTCATAGTATGATTCAATAAGTGCTTGGTATTCGGACCTTGTTTCAAGAGGCGAAAGCACCATCCAACAAGAGACCATTTGAGAGTCTTACTAAGTCTCAACTAGATTTAGTAAAGTTCCGGGTTGTCCCGGGACGGCAGATTATCAGTGGAGGACCACCCGAGAAATCCAGACCGGTACTGGACCAGGCAATTGAGCAGTTGAAGGAGGACCTCGCCCTAAGCGACGACTCTTCAGAAGCATCAGGATCCATGGCCAATACCTCAGAAAGCGAATATATGGGAGAGAAGAGAGATTATAAACAATATAATTATGTTTCGGCATCTACATCCACACTGTGTTTAGATGAACACTGATAGGATTATAGTGAAGAATTGACTCATTAACCTACTAACCGTGATGGAGATAGTGTAATTTATAACTGATAACATGTAGAATCTTTAAGTATAGAGTACAGGACGTACAGTAATTCTTGTTACATAGAGTGAACTACAGTGAACGGACTTTGAATTGTTACGTCACAATAACACATGTACTATTTATAAATTTGAGGGAGCCGCATTTCATGTACTTTAGGGGGGAGAAAATTCATGTTGTCGTCCTGAAGAAGCCCGGGAGGGCGAAACTGGTAGACGGTATAATAAACCCTATAAACCATCACTCCACAGTCTGTTGTGATTGATTCTTATTGTCTGATTTTCCCTTTTGCTCAATCACCCTGCATACCTGGGGGTATCCAGCTGGGGAGTGAAGAGACCTACTAACCACCCCACGAAAACACACGGCGTTGGCTCTATTACCTGAACTCAAAATGTTAACCTGTCACAAAATGTTTATCACAGTCACGAAATGTTTACCACAGTCACAAAATGTTTACCACAGTCACAAAATGTTTACCACTGTTACAAAAGGATACAGGTTTTCATCCAGATCAATGTCTACCTCCTTGGAAGCTTTCTCAAACCAGTCGTTCTGCCTTTTCTGTTTGGTCACACTGTCAAAAAATAAAACATAGCCTTAGAACACATTACTATCCTGTAATGTACAGTTTTGACGTTAGCTTTGTTTACACCTAGATCCAATTCCACTATCGATTGTGCTTGATTGGTGTTGCAATGTTTATCTCTTTGATGGAATTATTCTTACCATTCCCTATAAACAGCTCTAAATCCCTTGTTCTTATAAAACTGTGTAAGCCTTATAGTTTTCCTAATCTCAAAGAGAGGTAAAACTTATGATTTACCTGTACAACTTTTACGGCATCAGTTAATCTAAATACCTTCCAATTTAAAACACTATTTGGGATATTCCAGAGAGAGATTCTGAAACAAATATGACTAACCAATCAAATTACCTGTGTTCAAGCTTGTCCACCTGTTTGGCCAAATCTACCCTTCTCTTGATGACAGTAAGGATCTGATGGTTGACAGGGAAAACTGGTAGCTCCTCACCTGAAACATAAACCATTTTGTAGTATTGATCTTTGTACTGACTCATCAGCAAAGACTTGCTGGTTCATGTCCTAGAAACTTTACTACCATGTATGTGTCATAATGATATATCCATAGGGGTCACTTATAACACTTAGTAATACTAAAGAATTTGATGTTAGTAGATCTTAAGGAAAAACCTTCTGAACACAGATAAGTAGATAAGTAGCCAACGTATTGGCTGGAAATAAACAGGAAAACAACATATACCGAGATATAAGCAGGTGTATTTAAACATCTGACCTAAAACTGATATTATTTAGAGTACATACAGATACAGCTGTGATGTTCCAATAGGTTTTGATACCTGCCTGACCCACCAACACAATACAATATACTTCCTATGTAATCTTCAATATAACTGTGACCTACTTTGGCAAAAGCTGATGACCTTGCTATAGTTATTTTTACCCCTGGCCTAATAACATTGATTTTTATACAATGTACAGTATATTTACCAAAGTAACTGTGACCTACTTCTGTTGAGTGAGCTGATGACCTTGTGATAGTTCTTTATGTCCCCCTGGCCTACTTATTTAATTCTCACACAATGTACATTGTATTTATGAAAGTAACTGTGACCTACTTCTGTTGAGTGAGCTGATGACCTTGCGATAGTTCTTGACATCTCCCTGACCTACTAACATAATACTGAGTCCTTCCTTGGTGGCTCGCGCTGTCCTTCCACTTCGATGAATGTAATTCTACACAAAAGATAAACATTTATGTCATAGAAAATAAACAAAAAAACACTCCATAGAATGAAGTGAGCGAGTCACCAACACCTACTTTGATGGAACATTGATATATCTATAATGCTTGCTTGTGAAGAACCTTGCAGGATAAAAAGACATTGATGTATAAAAGTGGTAAGTTTCATAATAATTCAATATTTCTTTCAAAGACAAACTGTCCAGAAACCATCAATTATACTGTATCAGTATTTTTTTCCAGTATGACCAAGCAACTAAATTTGAGTTGGGGACATGTAGAAAGCTATCTAGGTATGTTCAATAAGAAGATTCAACTTAATCAGCCAATCTGATCACCAAGTACACACTTTATTAGATGCTACATTTCTGACTGAGCACAAAACATACATTTAAGGATGGTTGTGCAATCGTTTAACCCTCAAGATATTTATGGCATTAAGACTCTTTGATGATGCAGAGATACTGACCTCTACTGTGAGTGGAACCTGGTAGTGGACAACATGCTGGACATTAGGGATATCCAATCCACGTGCTGCTACATCAGAAGCTAACAATAGACCCCTGGGGTTACCTGAAAAGTAACACTTTTTCCATTATGACATTTTTTGATATCTGTTCTAAATATAGCACAAACAAGGTTTTTCAATTTGACCTTTGACACCTGTTCTACACATGGTTTTTTAATATAACACAAACAAGGTTTTCCAATTTGACCTTTGACACCTGTTCTACACATGGTTTTTTAATATTACACAAACAAGGTTTTCTAATTTGACCTTTGACACCTGTTCAACACATGGTTTTTTAATATAACACAAACAAGGTTTACTAATTTGACCTTTGACACCTGTTCAACACATGTGAGAATTACACTAAAACTGATATCACTGACATATGTAAGAATTACACTAAAACTGATATCACTGACAGATGTAAGAATTACACTAAAACTGATATCACTGACATATGTAAGAATTACACTAAAGCTGATATCACTGACAGATGTAAGAATTACACTAAAGCTGATATCACTGACAGATGTAAGAATTACACTAAAGCTGATATCACTGACAGATGTAAGAATTACACTAAAACTGATATCACTGACAGATGTAAGAATTACACTAAAACTGATATCACTGACAGAAGTAAGAATTACACTAAGCTGATATCACTGACAGAAGTAAGAATTACACTCAAGCTGATATCACTGACAGATGTAAGAATTACACTAAAACTGATATCCCTGACATATGAAAGAATTACACTAAAGCTGATATCCCTGACATATGTAAGAATTACACTAAAGCTGATATCCCTGACATATGTAAGAATTACACTAAAGCTGATATCCCTGACATATGTAAGAATTACACTAAGGCTGATATCCCTGGCCTATGTAAGAATTACACTAAGGCTGACATCCCTGACATATGTAAGAATTACACTAAGGCTGATATCCCTGACATATGTAAGAATTACACTAAAGCTGATATCCCTGACATATGTAAGAATTACACTAAAGCTGATATCCCTGACATATGTAAGAATTACACTAAAGCTGATATCCCTGACATATGTAAGAATTACACTAAAGCTGATATCCCTGACATATGTAAGAATTACACTAAAGCTGATATCCCTGACATATGTAAGAATTACACTAAAGCTGATATCCCTGACATATGAAAGAATTGCACTAAAGCTGATATCCCTGACATATGTAAGAATTACACTAAAGCTGATATCCCTGACATATGTAAGAATTACACTAAAGCTGATATCCCTGACATATGTAAGAATTACACTAAAGCTGATATCCCTGACATATGTAAGAATTACACTAAAGCTGATATCCCTGACATATGTAAGAATTACACTAAAGCTGATATCCCTGACATATGAAAGAATTACACTAAAGCTGATATCCCTGACATATGTAAGAATTACACTAAAGCTGACATCCCTGGCCTATGTAAGAATTACACTAAGATGATATCCCTGACATATGAAAGAATTACACTAAAGCTGATATCCCTGACATATGTAAGAATTACACTAAAGCTGATATCCCTGACATATGTAAGAATTACACTAAAGCTGATATCCCTGACATATGAAAGAATTGCACTAAAGCTGATATCCCTGACATATGTAAGAATTACACTAAAGCTGATATCCCTGACATATGTAAGAATTACACTAAGGCTGATATCCCTGGCCTATGTAAGAATTGCACTAAGACTGATATCCCTGACATATGTAAGAATTACACTAAGGCTGATATCACTGACATATGTAAGAATTGCACTAAAGCTGATATCCCTGACATATGTAAGAATTACACTAAAGCTGATATCCCTGGCCTATGTAAGAATTACACTAAGATGATATCCCTGACATATGTAAGAATTACACTAAGATGATATCCCTGACATATGTAAGAATTACTCTAAGGCTGATATCCCTGACATATGTAAGAATTACACTAAAGCTGATATCCCTGGCCTATGTAAGAATTACACTAAAGCTGATATCCCTGGCCTATGTAAGAATTACACTAAAGCTGATATCCCTGATATCCCTGACATATGTAAGAATTACACTAAAGCTGATATCCCTGACATATGTAAGAATTACACTAAGATGATATCCCTGACATATGTAAGAATTACTCGAAGGCTGATATCCCTGACATATGTAAGAATTACACTAAAACTGATATCCCTGACATATGAAAGAATTGCACTAAAGCTGATATCCCTGACATATGTAAGAATTACACTAAAGCTGATATCACTGACATATGTAAGAATTACACTAAAACTGATATCCCTGACATATGTAAGAATTACACTAAAGCTGATATCCCTGACATATGTAAGAATTACACTAAGATGATATCCCTGACATATGTAAGAATTACACTAAAACTGATATCCCTGACATATGTAAGAATTAATCTAAGGCTGATATCCCTGGCATATGTAAGAATTACACTAAAGCTGATAACCATGACAGATGTAAGAATAACACTAAAGCTGATATCACTAAAGAATTACTAAAGATGATATCCCTGACTGATGTAAGAATTACACTAAAGCTGATATCACTGACAGATGTAAGAATTACACTAAAGCTGATATCACTGACAGATGTAAGAATTACACTAAAACTGATATCACTGACATATGTAAGAATTACACTAAGATGATATCCCTGACCTATGAAAGAATTGCACTAAAGCTGATATCCCTGACATATGTAAGAATTACACTAAAACTGATATCCCTGACATATGTAAGAATTACACTCAAGCTGATATCCCTGACATATGTAAGAATTACACTAAAGCTGTAAGAATTACACTAAAGCTGATATCCCTGGCCTATGTAAGAATTACACTAAGATGATATCCCTGACATATGTAAGAATTACACTAAGGCTGATATCCCTGACATATGTAAGAATTACACTAAAGCTGATATCCCTGGCCTATGTAAGAATTACACTAAGATGATATCCCTGACATATGTAAGAATTACACTAAGATGATATCCCTGGCCTATGTAAGAATTACACTAAAGCTGATATCCCTGGCCTATGTAAGAATTACACTAAAGCTGATATCCCTGACATATGTAAGAATTACACTAAGATGATATCCCTGACATATGTAAGAATTACACTAAAGCTGATATCCCTGACTGATGTAAGAATTACACTAAAGCTGATATCACTGACAGATGTAAGAATTACACTAAAGCTGATATCCCTGACATAAGAATTACACTAAAGCTGATATCCCTGAATTACACTAAGACTGATATCCCTGACATATGTAAGAATTACACTAAAGCTGATATCCCTGACTGATGTAAGAATTACACTAAAGCTGATATCACTGACAGATGTAAGAATTACACTAAAGCTGATATCCCTGACATATGTAAGAATTACACTAAAGCTGATATCCCTGACATATGTAAGAATTACACTAAAGCTGATATCCCTGACATATGTAAGAATTACACTAAAACTGATATCACTGACATATGTAAGAATTACACTAAGGCTGATATCCCTGACATATGTAAGAATTACACTAAGATGATATCCCTGACATATGTAAGAATTACTCTAAGGCTGATATCCCTGACATATGTAAGAATTACACTAAAGCTGATATCCCTGGCCTATGTAAGAATTACACTAAAGCTGATATCCCTGACATATGTAAGAATTACACTAAAGCTGATATCCCTGACATATGTAAGAATTACTCTAAGGCTGATATCCCTGACATATGTAAGAATTACACTAAGATGATATCCCTGACATATGTAAGAATTACTCTAAAGCTGATATCTCTGACATATGTAAGAATTACACTAAAGCTGATATCCCTGGCCTATGTAAGAATTACACTAAGATGATATCCCTGACATATGTAAGAATTACACTAAGGCTGATATCCCTGACATATGTAAGAATTACACTAAGATGATATCCCTGACATATGTAAGAATTACACTAAAGCTGATATCTCTGACATATGTAAGAATTACACTAAAGCTGATATCCCTGACATATGTAAGAATTACACTAAAGCTGATATCCCTGACATATGTAAGAATTACACTAAGATGATATTCCTGACATATGTAAGAATTACTCTAAGGCTGATATCCCTGGCCTATGTAAGAATTGCACTAACGCTGATATCCCTGGCCTATGTAAGAATTACACTCAAGCTGATATCCCTGGCCTATGTAAGAATTACACTAAGATGATATCCCTGACATATGTAAGAATTACTCTAAGGCTGATATCCCTGGCCTATGTAAGAATTACACTAAGATGATATCCCTGACATATGTAAGAATTACTCTAAGGCTGATATCCCTGGCCTATGTAAGAATTGCACTAAAGCTGATATCCCTGACATATGTAAGAATTACACTAAGGCTGATATCCCTGACATATGTAAGAATTACACTAAGGCTGATATCCCTGACATTCATAGCACAGTGGTCAGTATTTCCTGGTTAGGGTTGTCAGCAGTTAACTGGTTGACCACTCATAACATTTTTATCCAAATCAATTTCGGTAATCTGTTCTTGCAAAAAAAAATATGTTTCCTGCTTCTCATAGACTGCATTTTTTTATTGTCATTTTGCCTTTTGAATTACCTCCATTACAATGTGTCTAGGTAATTATGCTTAGAAGCTGTCTTTTGATTCTTACATCTACTCACAACCCACACTAACATTGAATTTGTTTCAGAAAACTTAATCCCTCGGGCATATCCCTAGGACCTCCATGTTCTGTTTTCATGTCCTCTTTGTGTTTCGCCATGAAAAAAGCTATGTGTCTTGCATAAAACTCAGGCCATTGTCTAGGCCACCAAATGGCTAAAAAACTTTGCAACTGATCACATGATGTTGTTGAAAAATATTGCTTCTAAACAAGATATAATTGTTAATTCTTTATTTAGGAGCAGCAAATGAGGTGATTATTTAAATTGTGTCTCGCACATTACACACTTATTTCAAATTTTTCCCATACAGCTTTCAGTATACTGCAGGGTTTTCCATAATTTTGTTAGTAGTAGGCTGTGTAGCGAAAGTAGGAGGCTGGCCTGCTGTGTATGTGTAGTCGTGTACGGAACATTATTACGGAACTGGATTGGTGTAAGCGGCCAAATGATCTAAGTAGCCGATAAAATTGGCCGGCGACCAGCTCTTATGGAAAACTCTGATACTGTGTCCTAAATTTTCTTAACATCTGGCTAGGCTTTTTATCCGACATGGGCGCACTGTCACATAAATATGATAATAGGTAAAACTTTAAAACCTAATTTATGGAGAGAGTGATGTACAGTCAACACTAACCTGTAAATCTCTCTAGGTTTTTTAGCCTCTGTTTCTGGTGCATGTCCGCATGTAGTGGAAGAGGGTTAACGCCAAGGAGGGTTAGCACGGACACAAGACGTCGGATACAGTCCTTACTGTTAGCAAATACTAAAGTTCGACCAGGGTACTGCTTCAAAAAGTAGTAGAGGTACAGGTCCTAAATAATATACATGTGACATCATAATTACAGGTACATTTATTTCATTCCTAGATCATCAACATAAAATGCATGATGGTAAATCTAATTAAGTTAACATTATTTTTTTTTTCATTTACACACCTGTTGAAAGAATTCAAAATGATCTCCAGGAAAACAAACATCAATAAATTAAAAGTACAAACTGTGGTAAAAGTTACATGAAAAGGAATAAACAATAAAAAGTTTTCATACTTTCTTGTAAATAGTAAAGCCAAATCAGTAATAAAACATGGTCTCCATCTTTACATTTCTTATTGAATTCTGACCTTTTCATCCATGGAACAGTTGATACGAGCCTCGGTCAGCGTTTCCACAGTGCCAATCTTCCTTGTAAGGTCAATGACCTTCGGACGATCCTTCAGACCAATTCTTTTCATCAGTTTTTCTGTAAATCGGGTAAAAAGTACACAAAAACCAGATATATGAAAATGCAAAGAATCTTTCCGTGGTAATAGTATGTCATGGTCATTATGCCTAGGTAATAGTACATCATGGTCATCATGCCTAGGTAACAGTACATCATGGTCATCATGCCTAGGTAATAGTATGTCATGGTCATCATGCCTAGGTAATAGTACGTCATGGTCATCATGCCTAGGTAATAGTACGTCATGGTTATCATGCCTAGGTAATAGTACGTCATGGTTATCATGCCAAGGTAATAGTACGTCATGGTTATCATGCCTAGGTAATAGTACGTCATGGTTATCATGCCTAGGTAATAGTACATCATGGTCATCATGCCTAGGTAATAGTACGTCATGGTTATCATGCCTAGGTAATAGTACGTCATGGTTATCATGCCTAGGTAATAGTACGTCATGGTTATCATGCCTAGGTAATAGTACGTCATGGTTATCATGCCTAGGTAATAGTACGTCATGGTTATCATGCCTAGGTAATAGTACATCATGGTTATCATGCCTAGGTAATAGTACGTCATGGTCATCATGCCTAGGTAATAGTACGTCATGGTTATCATGCCTAGGTAATAGTACGTCATGGTTATCATGCCTAGGTAATAGTACGTCATGGTCATCATGCCTAGGTAATAGTACGTCATGGTTATCATGCCAAGGTAATAGTACGTCATGGTTATCATGCCTAGGTAATAGTACGTCATGGTTATCATGCCTAGGTAATAGTACGTCATGGTTATCATGCCTAGGTAATAGTACGTCATGGTTATCATGCCTAGGTAATAGTACGTCATGGTTATCATGCCTAGGTAATAGTACGTCATGGTTATCATGCCTAGGTAATAGTACGTCATGGTCATCATGCCTAGGTAATAGTACATCATGGTCATCATGCCTAGGTAATAGTACGTCATGGTTATCATGCCTAGGTAATAGTACGTCATGGTCATCATGCCTAGGTAATAGTACATCATGGTTATCATGCCTAGGTAATAGTACGTCATGGTCATCATGCCTAGATAATAGTACGTCATGGTTATCATGCCTACTAAGACTACATATCTCCAATAGAAAATGAGCTAGTTCTATTGTTGTCCAGCCAAGAATCCTTATCACTGTTAATGGGTGATGTGGAAGAGTTTGCTGTACCACAAAATGGTATCATAGAGACATAGGAAATCCTGAGAGACGATGTAATATGCTTTGATGAAAGCTTGTAAAACACTGTATATTAAGCAGTTTAAAACATCATGGTCTAACTGGTAGGTTAATTATTGACCTTCAGATAGAAGAAATTCCCAGTAATCTGATCAGTTTAAATTTCTTACCTTTTGTAGCTGAACAGGACAGCAGACAAATCTTATTTGAAATATAAATTCTTGAAAAATAAAGGCCATGATTTTTAATCTGTGACATTACTCACCCAGTTTTTGCTCCTCAGTGACCTTGACCTTCTTGGTCACATGTCTGTGAGGCCCAGAGTGGAGAGTTGTCAGTGTGGCTGAGAATACAAATGTCTGCCTCTTTTGTTTCTTCTCTGGATCCCTATAAAACAAGAGCATTATTGATGTAACAAACCTATGTAATTACAAAATACACATTCCTATAAATATGTTTCAGGATGTAACTATGGTATACAAATACCTGTTAATGTAGCTGAGAGTGTAACTATGATACCTGTTGATGTAGCTGAGGGTGTAACTATGATACCTGTTGATGTAGCTGAGGGTGTAACTATGATATACACATACCTGTTGATGTAGCTGAGGGTGTAACTATAATACCTGTTGATGTAGCTGAGGATGTAACTATGGTATACAAATATCTGTTGATGTAGCTGAGGGTGTAACTATGATACCTGTTGATGTAGCTGAGGATGTAACTATGGTATACAAAGATCTGTTGATGTAGCTGAGGGCGTAACTATGATACCTGTTAATGTAGCTGAGGATGTAACTATGGTATACAAATATCTGTTGATGTAGCTGAGGGTGTAACTATGATACCTGTTGATGTAGCTGAGGATGTAACTATGGTATACAAATACCTGCTGATGTAACTGAGGGTGTAACTATGATATACACATACCTGTTGATGTAGCTGAGGGTGTAACTATGATATACACATACCTATTGATGTAGCTGAGGATGTAATTATAATAAACACATACCTGTTGATGTGGTTGAGAATGTGACTTAGTTCCTCGAAGTGTCCTTTTTCTATCATCCTGTCAGCCTCGTCCACAACTAGACACCTGATCTCAGACACAAGTGATAAGTATGTGCTATCCTACAAAAAAAAATAAAAAACCATAAAAATCTAACTAAATTCAATCTAAATTACTATCGTCACTAAATTATACATAATTATTAAGGTGACGTAAAGTTTTGTCATTTTAGTGATTTCTTTAGATCTATAATCAATACATCAACAGCTGTATAAATGAAATTCCAATACATTTAAATTTTCTCTTAATTGTAAAACTGTCATCATACCTACTGTACAAGCTCCAGTAATGTGACCTTTACCTTCTGTACAAGCTCCAGTAATGTGACCTTTACCTTCTGTACAAGCTCCAGTAATGTGACCTTTACCTTCTGTACTAGCTCCAGTAATGTGACCTTTACCTTCTGTACAAGCTCCAGTAATGTGACCTTTACCTTCTATACAAGCTCCAGTAATGTGACCTTTACCTTCTGTACAAGCTCCAGTAATGTGACCTTTACCTTCTGTACTAGCTCCAGTAATGTGACCTTTACCTTCTGTACAAGCTCCAGTAATGTGACCTTTACCTTCTGTACAAGCTCCAGTAATGTGACCTTTACCTTCTGTACAAGCTCCAGTAATGTGACCTTTACCTTCTATACAAGCTCCAGTAATGTGACCTTTACCTTCTGTACAAGCTCCAGTAATGTGACCTTCACCTTCTGTACAAGCTTCAGCATTGTACCCTTTACCTTCTGTACAAGCTCCAGTGATGTGACCTTTACTTGCTGTACAAGCTCCAGTAATGTGACCCTACTTGCTGTACATGATCCAGTCATGTGACCTAGGCTGCCGTACAAGCACCCATGCTATGATCTTGTCTCCTTTACAAGCTCCAGTCCTGCAACCTTATCTGCTGTTATAGCTTCAGTGAAATGACCTTGTCAGCTGTTCGAACTCCAGTTATGTGACTTAAGATACTATATAAGCTCAAATGATGTAGCCTTACCTGCTATTCAAACTCCAGTGTTGTGACTTTACCTGCTGTATAAGCTTAAGTGCTGTGACCTTACCTGCTGTATAAGCTTAAGTGCTGTGACCTTACCTGCTGTACAAGCTCCCACAGACGACCAGGTGTAGCCACCACCACCTGAGGACACTTCTTTAGGACTCTTAGTTGTTTCTCCATGGACAGTCCACCCACTACTGTAACTACCTACAAGAAACCAACAGTAAAACTTCATGTCAGACTCTCCTCGTTAATCTAGTTTACCAGAATTATTCCACAAAACTCTCTTAACTTGGTTAAACATTAAACTGTGTTAACAACAAAAAAACTAACACAGAAGAACCTTGTTAATCCATAGGAGTTATTGATGATTAAATAGACTTATACACAGGAACTGTTGACAGCTAACCAGCCTGATACACAGGAACTGTTGACAGCTAGCCAGACTTATACACAGGAACTGTTGACACCTAGCCAGACTTATACACAGGAACTGTTGACAGCTAACCAGCCTGATACACAGGAACTGTTGACAGCTAGCCAGACTTATACACAGGAACTGTTGACACCTAGCCAGACTTATACACAGGAACTGTTGACACCTAGCCAGACTTATACACAGGAACTGTTGACACCTAGCCAGACTTATACACAGGAACTGTTGACAGCTAACCAGACTGATACACAGGAACTGTTGACACCTAGCCAGACTTATACACAGGAACTGTTGACACCTAGCCAGACTTATACACAGGAACTGTTGACAGCTAACCAGACTTATACACAGGAACTGTTGACACCTAGCCAGACTTATACACAGGAACAGTTGACAGGAACTGTTGACACCTAGCCAGACACAGGAACTAACCAGACTGATACACAGGAACTGTTGACACAGGACTTATACACAGGAACTGTCGACACCTAGCCAGACTTATACACAGGAACTGTTGACACCTAACCAGACTTATACACAGGAACTGTTGACACCTAGCCAGACTTATACACAGGAACTGTTGACAGCTAACCAGACTTATACACAGGAACTGTTGACACCTAGCCAGACTTATACACAGGAACTGTTGACAGCTAACCAGACTTATACACAGGAACTGTTGACACCTAGCCAGACTTATACACAGGAACAGTTGACACCTAACCAGACTGATACACAGGAACTGTTGACACCTAGCCAGACTTATACACAGGAACTGTTGACACCTAGCCAGACTTATACACAGGAACTGTTGACACCTAGCCAGACTTATACACAGGAACTGTTGACAGCTAACCAGACTTATACACAGGAACTGTTGACAGCTAACCAGACTGATACACAGGAACTGTTGACAGCTAACCAGACTTATACACAGGAACTGTTGACACCTAGCCAGACTTATACACAGTATAATGTTTCTACCATTACAAGCCTCAGTCTCACCTTGATATCAGTATGTCTGACAATACGGAGGAGATGGTTCTTCACTTGTACTGCCAGTTCACGCGTCGGCTCTAGCACCAGAGCTAATGGTGGTTTTTCAGGAAGCTTAGGGGCTTTGATTGGTCCAAACTGGCTCATAAAAACTGGATCAATATCTGAGAAGTCTGCATCATCTATCACCTTCACACATCCAAATCCATCCCCCTGAAGAAAAAGGGATGACTGAAGTGGCATGTGAAAACAGCACATGTTCTGTTAGCAATTTAAGCTATTATATACACATTCTACAAGATAATGTTGAATATTATCAAGCAATATGAATATTTCAAAAACATTCAAATCATTGTTTCAATTCTCACCTCTTTTCACTCAAACAATAAATTACAAAACACATAACACAATCCCTGACTGCTGAGGTCCACAAGGTGCCTTCTACCTCAATTCTTAAACTTAGTGAATGATTAAATGATAAAGGTGTGGCAAACCCGACTTAGAAGTCGACCATTGTAAAGCAATAATTTGGATGATCACCATTCTTTCTTATTTCTTTAATTTGTCTGATGAAGCTGAAGGTTCAGTACAAATAAATCTATAATATTTAAGCTGAAGGTTTAGTAAGATGAAGCTTGCCCAATTACCTCAACCAATTCTTCCTCTCCCTCCTCACTTCCTAACTCTTCATCATTCTCATCTTCAACCTCCTCTGATTCTTCCCATTCCTCATCTTCCTCGCTTTCCTCTTCATCATCAACAACGGATGTATCAAACACCAGTTCTTCCTCATTTTCTTCTACTGAATCTACCATTTCATTATCCAACTCAATTTCCTTTTCATTGTCTTTTTCACTACTCATTTCCTCATTGTCATCCTCCAGTTCCCTGCCTGAGTCACTGTCTACTTCCTCAACATTCTTTTTCTTTCTGTTTTCCTCTTCTTGCTTAACTTTTAATATCTTGTCTACCAATGGTATACCAAATGCAAGAGTTTTACCACTCCCCTAAAATAGAAATTGAAATAAACAATGCTCATAAACACATAATCTTCACTAAATATTTCAATCAATAACACTTTTTATACTTCACAGAAAAAAGTCCTGTAAACCAGCTTTCTTTTGTAGCGTCTAACTTGTTTACAAATCACAGAAAGTTCACAGCAATTTATTTTCCTGAAACAGACATATTATATACATAGCACAAATCTATTTTATTTGCGAAAGACACTATCAAACTACAAATTTGCTTTTGTGAAACAGACTATATTATACTAAATTTTTTTTTCATGAAACAGACTATATTATACTACATGCTAACTGTTTTTTATCACCTGTATTATTTTGCAAAGATTAATAATTTATGGTTGCAAATATGTTTTTAAATAGATGCATGCAAAAGAAAACTGACTTATAGTAAATGAATTTTTTGTAATGACTGCAAGCTAATGTATAAAATCTTCCCTATCACCATTCACAAACCATACATGAAACTTGTATTAAATAAAATGTTTGCATGAACATCAGTTTTAAAATGAACCCTTACAGACATGAGATATTGCATTTTTTACCAAAATTGTTGAGTGTTAACTTAATTCACTTCTAAGGCATCAAATAATGATTACAGCTGTAGAATATTGAACATTTATACCAAACCTGGAGTATTAAACTATAACCACGTTTTGATTGGCTGACACTGTGAACTGTGACCAAACGGGTCCTTTACAAACTCACTGAAATTAAAATGCACAATCAGCAGTGTAAGACTGCTGTTGTTATAATTTGAATTTTTAAGATAACAATCAGAACTATTAATTACTTGTTGGGACTTTTAATAAAGCATGACATTTCCACATAGCTTGCATATTTACAGGACATATCATTATGGCAAAACTGATATTGTTAAAACACATAATACTGGACACAAGGTTTAAACGTCTCAATATACATAATACTGGACACAAGCTTTAAACGTCTCAATATACATAATACTGGACACAAGGTTTAAACATCTCAATATACATAATACTGGACACAAGGTTTAAACGTCTCAATATACATAATACTGGACACAAGGTTTAAACGTCTCAATATACATAATACTGGACACAAGGTTTAAACATCTCAATATACATAATACTGGACACAAGGTTTAAACATCTCAATATACATAATACTGGACACAAGGTTTAAACATCTCAATATACATAATACTGGACACAAGGTTTAAACGTCTAAATATACATAATACTGGACATAAGGTTTAAACGTCTCAATATACATAATACTGGACACAAGGTTTAAACGTCTCAATATACATAATACTGGACACAAGGTTTAAACGTCTCAATATACATAATACTGGACACAAGGTTTAAACGTCTCAATATACATAATACTGGACACAAGCTTTAAACGTCTCAATATACATAATACTGGACACAAGGTTTAAACATCTCAATATACATAATACTGGACACAAGGTTTAAACATCTCAATATACATAATACTGGACACAAGGTTTAAACATCTCAATATACATAATACTGGACACAAGGTTTAAACGTCTCAATATACATAATACTGGACACAAGGTTTAAACGTCTCAATATACATAATACTGGACACAAGCTTTAAACGTCTCAATATACATAATACTGGACACAAGGTTTAAACGTCTCAATATACATAATACTGGACACAAGGTTTAAACGTCTCAATATACATAATACTGGACACAAGGTTTAAACGTCTCAATATACATAATACTGGACATAAGGTTTAAACATCTCAATATACATAATACTGGACACAAGGTTTAAACGTCTAAATATACATAATACTGGACACAAGGTTTAAACGTCTCAATATACATAATACTGGACACAAGGTTTAAACATCTCAATATACATAATACTGGACACAAGGTTTAAACGTCTAAATATACATAATACTGGACATAAGGTTTAAACATCTCAATATACATAATACTGGACACAAGGTTTAAACGTCTAAATATACATAATACTGGACACAAGGTTTAAACGTCTCAATATACATAATACTAAGAAATATCAAATTTTTTTTTCCTAATAAATTCTGAACAGGACTAGGATAAGTTAAACACCAAGTATTCCTACATCAAAATCCCCCCTCCCACCAGAGTCTCTGTATATGAAGATGATCAATGTGCTGTTTTTATACATTTTCAGACTTACAGTTTCTGCTGCTCCTACTATGTCCAGTCGGTCCCTGATGGCATGAGGCAGGGCAAGGGTCTGTATGGGGGTGGGTACAGTAAATCCATCCTCCTGTAGGGCGAACAGCACAGGCGCAGGTACATGCATATCCTTCCAGGCCACCATATCTAACAACACATACACAAACCATCTTCATTAACACCATTCAAAGGATCCATTTGTTCCTAATTGCTATACTCCAAGGTAATAGTACATAATATTTAGTCTCAGAGCAAATTTATCCATACTACCTGTTTAATCTGACTGGAGTATTCTGGAATCTTTCTAATCAGACATCGTGTATAGCATCATTCCTTTTGTTGGAAAATTACAAATAAAATTTCTCATGAAAGTCTTAGTCTTTTACATGAAAGATTTCCATATAAAATGTTTCTGTCAAAAATCTAAAATCCTGATTTGTAAGGAAACATAATACTGTGACATTTGATATTGATTTATTTTATTTACACATCCATTCTTTGTTATAGCTAGATACAAACACTCTAGCTATATCTCTTACCTGTAGCAGAAACCTTTAAGGGAACATCACTTTTATTTTCATCTTTTTTCTTCAAATCTGTTATCACTGGATTGTCAGATTTTCTTGCCTTCTTCACCCTCGGTTCTTCTCCTGAAGATTATCCAGAGAAATCTATTATAGTGCACCAGTAATTTATGGAAAAGAATGACATTGAAAATAATTTCAGTAACGAGGCTTGTTGGCTATTTTCTTCGCAACATTTTCTTCAGTTTAGTAATGTCAATAAAATAAAAGTTCTTATAACACAACCTGTAGATGATTAGAGTGTGATGTTTGAATGGCTACACAGTCACTTCCATCAGACAAATGACCAATGTGGAGTATACTAATGTTTGTTGATTCCTTACCATCTTGTACACTACGTACACATGCTCCACACTGGTCATTTGTCTGACAAAAGGTCATGTCACACTCCAATTTCCTACTGGTTGTGTAATGACCAGTGTGGAGTGTACTAATGTTGGTTGATTCCTTACCATCTTGTACACTACATACACATGCTCCACACTGGTCATTTGTCTGACAAAAGGTCACCTTATAGTCATCAAAATGTCACACTCCAATTTCCTACTGGTTGTGTAATGACCAGTGTGGAGTGTACTAATGTTGGTTGTGTAATGACCAGTGTGGAGTGTACTAATGTTGGTTGTGTAATGACCAGTGTGGAGTGTACTAATGTTGGTTGTGTAATGACCAGTGTGGAGTGTACTAATGTTGGTTGTGTAATGACCAGTGTGGAGTGTACTAATGTTGGCTGTGTAATGACCAGTGAGGAGTGTACTAATGTTGGTTGTGTAATGACCAGTGTGGAGTGTACTAATGTTGGTTGTGTAATGACCAGTGTGGAGTGTACTAATGTTGGCTGTGTAATGACCAGTGTGGAGTGTACTAATGTTGGTTGTGTAATGACCAGTGTGGAGTGTACTAATGTTGGCTGTGTAATGACCAGTGTGGAGTGTACTAATGTTGGTTGTGTAATGACCAGTGTGGAGTGTACTAATGTTGGTTGTGTAATGACCAGTGTGGAGTGTACTAATGTTGGTTGTGTAATGACCAGTGTGGAGTGTACTAATGTTGGCTGTGTAATGACGAGTGTGGAGTGTACTAATGTTGGTTGTGTAATGACCAGTGTGGAGTGTACTAATGTTGGTTGTGTAATGACCAGTGTGGAGTGTACTAATGTTGGCTGTGTAATGACCAGTGTGGAGTGTACTAATGTTGGCTGTGTAATGACCAGTGTGGAGTGTACTAATGTTGGCTGTGTAATGACCAGTGTGGAGTGTACTAATGTTGGCTGTGTAATGACCAGTGTGGAGTGTACTAATGTTGGTTGTGTAATGACCAGTGTGGAGTGTACTAATGTTGGCTGTGTAATGACCAGTGTGGAGTGTACTAATGTTGGCTGTGTAATGACCAGTGTGGAGTGTACTAATGTTGGCTGTGTAATGACCAGTGTGGAGTGTACTAATGTTGGCTGTGTAATGACCAGTGTGGAGTGTACTAATGTTGGCTGTGTAATGACCAGTGTGGAGTGTACTAATGTTGGCTGTGTAATGACCAGTGTGGAGTGTACTAATGTTGGCTGTGTAATGACCAGTGTGGAGTGTACTAATGTTGGCTGTGTAATGACCAGTGTGGAGTGTACTAATGTTGTTATTCATTTTGTTGATTAGACATTAAATCAACTTAAGACAGTTGTGTTTCAAAATGACATACCTAATGTAATAAATCAACAGATATTTTTTATATATATGTAAAAGTTAATATACAGCAAAATGTATGGTGTACATACCTTGGTTTTTGTTTTCTTTTTTCTTCCTTTTCCTTGATTTATTTTTATTTTTTGAGCCTGTAGTCTCTTCCTTCAATAAATCCTCTGCCAAATCAGATACTTGAGAAAGTTTTATCACATCACCTTTCTTTTGTTTCTTTGTCCTCCCTATGGAACCTGTTTCTACAATATCCTGATTAACTGCTGATTCAGATGTACTTTCTTTTTTCTTTTTTTTCTTGTTTTTCTTTTTCTCTTTTTTCTTTTTATTTGAAATATCCCTTTTCCCTTTTTCAGCTCCTGCTTGCACTTTTTCATCCTGCAGATTAAATAAAAACGGAATTTTCTAAATATCACACTACTGATTATATATTTACATTATGAACTACAAATGTTCCACACCAAACAGTTTCCAAACCTGTGAATTTTGCAAAATATATGAAACACAATGTGCCTAGCTACCATTCAACATTTCAAAAATCTCAGTATGATCTTACTGTAACATAGATCATTGTTTACATAAATGCGTCTGCTAGGATTTGAACCAAGAACCTCTGGCTTACTTGTCTTACCCTCAACCAATCAAGCTAAAGAGAAGCTTTCTCTATCTGAGTGAGCGGTATATAGTAACTAGTCCTTACCAGGGATAAATAAATACCACGTATAAAATATAGATAAATATGAAATAATATCACAGTAAATCATAAACAAGGACAAAAAGGTAAACACTGTGATGGTGTCAATGAATTCATGTGTGAAATTACAAACATGTTAACTACAGTTTCTCTCATTAAGCTAACACTTATATTTACTAGTAGCAGTCTCCTATGAATTTCATCTCACAGACAGAAAAGTGAAGGTCATATTTGCAACAAAATTAATACAATGTTATTAAAGTTATTAACCTGGCTATATGAGTTATTTTGTTTTCAACAGACTCTGAACATGATTAACAAATGAACTGTATGTAAATCATATTTTGGAGAAAAAAAATGTGGAAATATGATGTTATTAATTAAAATTAAAATTATTCAATTTATGGCTAATCCTTTCACTTTTTCTGGCTCAATAATCCAAAACCATTCAAGATATTTGCTCAAACTTCTTACACTTATTAAGCTAGTAGTATCTTTTCGTATGGGGAAGTTCACTATTTAAATACCTTTTCTTTTACTGTGGAAACAGATACACCAAATTACAAAGTTCATTTTTTTTTCAGACCAATTCTCTTAAACCATTTAAGGAAATTACCCGTTACTCAAAACTTTGTACAAGCATTAAGCTAGTACTCTAACAGAAGCTCTCAATTTCAATACTTTGCATGGAAAAATTAAAGATAACAAATAGAAATTAAAATTGTTGTAAAATTAACATACCGGTATATATATATATGATTGTGTGTTTTCAATCACCAGGGTGAAGGGATAATGTCACGCTTATCTTGTCATCTTTTGTTTTGTTCTTATTTGTCTGTCTTCATATTGTATGATTGTATGGGCGCGACTTATTTACATTTGGAAATTTATTTTTTTCAACTTATAAAAATATTGTATATTGTAAGCATGCAAGGTTATGCGAGAGGAAACCTGTATCCTTTCAGGGAAACGAACCCCTGGCGTATTGGTGAAAGGCAATTGTGTTACAACTGTACCACCAAACCATCGGCTGGTCATGATGATGCATTGTTTTCTAGAAGGAGAAGAAGATGGTGGTGGTGGTGATGATGATGATGATGATGCATCGGTACACGTGTAAGTACCGATGTTTTCTTAAAATCTTGCAAAATATAAAACAAATTTTAAAAACACGCTTCAGTGCAAACATGGGTCAGGCAGTTCAAAATGTGCATCTTGTTGACAGTGCCTATTTCAGAGTATACTTTACACCGATGTCTAACCTCATGTAAAAACCAGTCTGATTGACCGACTGAAGAGTATTGAAATACACCGTCGAAGTTACGATGGAACGTGCAATATTCAATAATGTACGGCATCTTTCTTTACCTTAGCTCCGTCCTTTGATTTATGTGACGACTCATTTGATATCAATTCATAATCAATTAGTTCTTCCATGCATATTAGGCCCGAAAAATCGTGGCCTGTCCCTAAGCCTTTGTTGACTTCGACTTTTTTCCATTTCGACTTGGGTTTCACGTGTATGAGTGCCGCCATGTTGGTTAATTTCCGTGGGTTAATCAAACGCTTCGAGGTAAAGTAACGAGGTGCAAGCGTCTCTGTAACATTGCACATCGGAAAAGGCAAATAGGAAGATGGCAGCTGGCGCGAATTCGAAACGGGAACTCACGACAAGAACCAGGTTTGTCAGTCTTACCAGAGTTGTAGTTAAGCCTGACAATGCCTCGAATCGAATCCAAACATCAAGTTTCATTCAGTGCCTGACTTAGATTGTTATTCTTTTGATGAAAGATACCTGCGTGTGGGTGCGTTTGAATCCGATCCGGGATGGCGGGGACCTAAGTGTGATACACGTAAGATACTGAAGGCCAACTGATTCTTCGAATGGGGAATAATTTGAAATGGAAACACGTGAAGTTCTTTTAACATTTGCTACAAAAACCTACATATTTTTGACATGGCCCAGTAACCAATGCAACATTCTTAATTATTACACAAAACGAGAATACTCTTGCCTGGCTTTTTAGAAAAAATCACAAACTTAATCACCTCGATTGCTTATAGTGTGGATGAAAGTAGAACATAGGTAAATTTATGCGTGATATTTGCAATAAATCTGTCACTCAAATCCAGGACTTTGGCAACTACCTCGGTTCTCGTAAAATCAAGCATTTTCAGACCACCAATAAGCAACAAAAAGAGCTCATATTGCCGAGAACAGCGCAGATCACATAATAATGACGGTCATACTAATCTAAGCCTAGAGACATATTTTAAGCCTAGAGAAGCCTAGGGCCTTGTTTAGTAATATATTGCTTAAAATATGTAATGTGACAAAGAAACATTACTTTTCAATGAAGTTATAGATACATTTGATATCATATGGGTTGCCAAATCCCAAATATTCAAATGTTCACAACGCCAGAAGCCATGTAAGAAAACTTTGTTATGAAATTACCAGCGTTTCACATCTTGGTTATCAAAATTTATTGGCATCAATATTGGTATTTTGAGTCAAAATTATTAGCTTGCTATTAAAATTTGGAAATTATCTTAAATGGAATAATGAACAAAAGACAGAACTGGTATTAATTTGAAGTCTAGATCGACAACACAGGTCAACAACTGCCATATTGAATACCACTTTATTTGGAAAATACTGACTTTTCTCTTGTTATTTACTAAATATCATTGAAGGTGTATCACAACATGTTAAGAAGGATGATAAAAAACTACAATAGAACCAATGTATGAAAACCAAATTAAAACCAAATAATTGAGGAGGAATTTGTTGTATTCTGTGACAAGGACATTACCGATATATGACAACAAGAGCTGAAGTTAATTTCACTTAGCATCGACCACTGACTTTTTTTCCCTACTTGAATATTATTGACGATGTATCATGATGTTGTTAAGAAGGATGATAAGAATATTATAATAGAATCTATGAAAAACAATTTCAAATCAGATGAATATTGAAAGAGGAGTTTCATGTATTCTGTAACAAGAAAGTGCACCAATACACTGACAACACATAAAAATAAGATTGGACATGTTGAACTTTAATGTATTTTCAGATGTCGCAGAATAAATTTTATACATTACAGTAAACATTTACTTCCTTGGATACTTTTCGTATCTATGTTGTAATTCTTTTTCAAAATAGCATACACTATGGCTTGAATTGAATTGTATATTCAATATAGTGTACACAATGTGGTGCAGGTTGCTACATTTTTGAAGTTCTTTTAAATATATCATGCTATCTATGGGTACACACAATGATGTACAAACAGTTACTAGGAGTCAGTTATGTGTGACCAATGGTAAGCTCAAGGGGTTTCTTATCTCTGTGTTATATATGTCTCTGACATACCCAGTGTAAATGTAGATCTTTACCGGGGGTTTTTATCTATTACTACTATGGAATGTTATTTTAATTTCTTTGTTTGCAGAAGCCATCAGAACAATAGAGAAGAGATCATCAGCAACTTTTGGAGGATATTGTAAAGTAAAGACTGCAGTCTTCCATCTCCAGAGAAAGTAACATTGAAAATGTCAATGCGAGATAGTCATCGCCTGTTCCTTCAATCATTCATGTCTCGTGGACTGCTGGATGCCAAAGAAGTCAGACTGCTCTTCAGAACTGTGTGTCTGAAATTCAACGGTACAGATTTGTCTTTTAACATTAATAACTTGCACACCCCTCTGCCAAGTTTCACCAAGCATCACAAAAAGCTGGCCAGTTTTGTCTTCCTGCAGTTTGTATTTTAAGACACTGACCATATATTCTCTATACATTCATGTCTGACCCATACATGTTTTATGTATCATAAGCATGTGTTCATATCATTACAGAGCCTACTGCTGCCAAAGAAGAGGACAGAAAACTACAACTTCTTGATTTTGTCCGCACCATTAACATGAAAATCCGTCCATTTCACATGGAAATCAAGAAGGGTGTGAGTGAGGATGAAGGTGTCAGCTACTACTGCCTGGTCAGTATATATAGAGGAAGGGGTATATAGGGGGAGGGGTCAGTTACTACTGCCTGGTCAGTATATATAGAGGAAGGGGTATATAGGGGTCAGCCTGGTCAGTATATATAGAGTGAGGGGTCTACTGCCTGGTCAGTATATATAGAGGGAGGGGTCAGCTACTACTGCCTGGTCAGTATATATAGAGGAAGGGGTCAGTTACTACTGCCTGGTCAGTATATATAGGGGGAGGGGTCAGTTACTACAGCCTGGTCAGTATATATAGAGTGAGGGGTCAGCTACTACTGCCTGGTCAGTATATATAGAGGGAGGGGTCAGTTACTACTGCCTGGTCAGTATATATAGAGGGAGGGGTCAGCTACTACCGCCTGGTCTGTATATATAGGGGGAGGGGTCAGCTACTACCGCCTGGTCTGTATATATAGAGGGAGGGGTCAGCTACTACTGCCTGGTCAGTATATATAGAGGAAGGGGTATATAGGGGGAGGGGTCAGCTACTACTGCCTGGTTTATATATGTGGTTCTCATATTAAAGAAACAGATTAGTTTCTACCTGCATAATCAGTTGACAGATAAGTGTAAATTTTCTCATCTATTAAATGTTGTATTTCCAGGTCTGTACAAATGAAAGTGCCATTACAAAATTGGCCTCCGATTATACGCAGAGTGAACTGGAATTCTTCAAAAAGCTGGTAAGTTCATTATCATACCAAAAATCACTATTTGCAAACAATTGAACAGATTTAGGTCAATTTAGTGCAGTCTTTTACTAGGTCAAAGGGATCTGATTGTATGTAAATGTAGGTGGAATGTTTATCATCAAGCTTTACATTCTATTTTTGTTTGGAATATCAGAGATAATGACAATAGCAACTGAGCTATTAGGAATCAGGTGGCTTTAATACTAGACTGACTCCTACCACTCAAATACATAATAGGAAATATAAACAAGATAAAACTGCTGAATAGAATATATTTACAGTGTATTCTGGACATGAAAGATGTAACAGATTTGTAAGTGTAATAGATTCATTATATTAATTCACAAAATCTACTTATGTAATTCTTGATTTTGAACAATATTGAACACATCAATCATTCAGATTTTTGTTATAGATGGAATGTACTAATTCAAATTATTCATTGGCTTTTGAGTTTAAACATCTCAAATGTGATATTCTCCCCCATTTTCAATTTCAATAAGTTTTTTTGTTATCAATTTTATTCTGCATTTTTAAAAAGTAATGGTTGACTTAGTTCAACAAAGACATAACTGTCTTTCAGAAATCCACTTATTTGTTAAGATCAGCACTTTCTTGTTTTGCATCCTGAATATACCCAGATATGCACTCGGGAAGCTCTAGCACTTTTACTCTATTCAAATACATGATATGAATTATTTACAATAAGATTTGTAATAACTTTAGAGTAATCAATTCAGTGTATTTATTCACAAACTCTACTTTCCTATATAATTAAAATTGAGATTCTTTATTTTTACCCAAATTTAACACATCAATTAGTCACATTTTTGTCACTCGTAACTTGGCATATGCTTTTTCAAGTTGTTTGCACTCCTTGTTTACATGTTTTAAATACAGAGATATTATCTCAGATTATTGCTTCAAAATTCCATCTATTTGCAAAAAGTTTCATTTCATTAAATTAATAACTATGTGTTAAATGTGTAAACAGTGTGACAGGGTATATGTTTATGTGTTTGACCAGCTATGATAAGGTTGTTAGGTACTGTAAACAGAACGACAGAGTTATGACCCATGCCCTGTAGATATGCCAAATTTGTTATGTAGGTTGACCAGATTGTGGATAATGAGGGAGAAATTGGATCTACTGCTGCTGTCAACATTGTTGACAAACTCGATAAAAACATGAAAAAGATGACACGGCAGGATGCACAGTCGCTACTACAGAGACTAGAATCAGCTAAGTGGATCATTATACACAAGGTATCTTTTAATTTTGAACCTCAAAAATATATTTTCATCCAATATTAAACAAAATATAAGAAAACTAATCATGTCTTTCTGATTAAAAAAACACAATTATATAAAAACACAACTAGCAAACAATTCTTGGTTATTTTTGCTTTTGACAACATTCTTTGTTTGCAGCAGTTTCAGTTACTAAATTGTTTATATTTTGTTTAGAAATGAAGTGAACAGGAAAAACTTTATACAGTGTCAATTTAACTATTTTAACTAAGAAGTGTAGAGCCAACATGAGGTAAAGTTTGCCAGGTACTTCTCACTGAGTATGGATACCAAGGGGTATTTTTATCACTCTTGTTGGTCTAGATGGAAGTGCTCAAAGGGTTGGGCAAGTGAACCCATAACTTTTCACATTCACTTGGGGAATTGACCGTGGTGAAAAGGTTAAAGGCAAGTGCATTTCACACTGTACCAAGTGGAAACCCAAATCTGAAAAATTTGTCGATGCACAAAATTTTTAACAGTGTATTTAATGAATAGTGAATACTTTTTTCTTATTCAGGGAACTGGAATAGTTTCCTTGTCAACGAGATGTTTGTTGGAGCTAGAACAGTATATTCTAGATGTGTATGGAGCTGAGGATGAAAACCTCAAATGTAACATGTGCAACAAACTTTGTGTTAAGGTACGTACAAAATACATTTTCCATTGTTATAAAATCTGTATAACATTCACAATGATATTACTACAGCAGGTACAGAGTTATCAATACTCAACAATACCCAGTGATACATAAATATTCCAGAGTTTTCACCCAAAAATTATAATTGAGGTATGTAGCCCAGGGTTATTTTCCCTGATGATTTAATTTCATAATTTCTCTTTTAAAAAGACATTACTGTAACTTGACCTGCCTCCCTTTGTTCCAGATCATTCCCTTTGTTTCATGATCAGTGATCTAATCAGAGTTGTCTCCCTTCATGTTTCAGGGCCAGAGCTGTGATAACTGTCAAACCAAACTCCACCTACACTGTGCCAGTAGGTTTTTCCAGAACAAAGACAATCCCAGGTGTCCCAATAAAACCTGTGGGACATCTTGGCCTCACCCAGTCCCCAAGAAAGGTAACAGCTAACCCTCTTGCAATCCTGTAAAAATCGCACAACATTTAATTACCTTTGTTAGATTTGTAGAGAAAGGTCTAGATCATTTGTGTATGTTATGTCCGTGCTATAAGGAGGAGTAGATAAAATGTTAATAATAGAAACCCTTGATGAATCTTGCCCCTCAGAAGTCTATGGATCCAATTAGATGTTAGTCACTCCGACAAAACCATGATGTTAATTAATCTTGATGAATTATTTCCTAATGTATAACTCTGGGACCATATAACCTAGTACACCATGTAGACAGGATCATTTCATTCCCAGTGTCTTAGATATATTGATCAAATTGAATAAAAAAATGTTGGTCAGCTCTACAGAAGAAGGTGTTGTGATCAGTTGGTTGAACCAGATGGTTAAAATGACCTGTTCTGAAGATGACTGTTCATTAACACAGGTCCTTCAGCTGATACACAGAGCAGCCAGGTACCATCTACCTCAACCTGTACAGATGCTTTTTCTGGCCGCAAAAGGAAACTACGATCTTGACCTAACTTGAAGAACTCTTCTGTTGTGGGACTGATTCTCCTCTAAAGAGATGTAGATTCTAGTATATCAGTTGGCTGACAAGAATCCTTAGCAGTCATGATTCTGTGGTATAGACACAAACACACTACAGGAGCTAATTGTTATATGATACCATGAACAATACTACTATTGAACTTCTTTGAACTTTGATAAAAATATCAGTTGGTAAATGTCATCATAAAAGAGACAGTGAAAATGCATCAATCTTTGTCGTAACTTTTAAAAATTGCAAGTTGTGAATGAATTGTAAATGTTTTAATCATATAAACTAGTGCCAGAAATCATTAATACCATGAAACATTGATTTGTGTTATGTGTTTACCTGTTGTTGACAGCATTGTAATTGTGGTTCATAACATACAGATGTACTTATTACAGTGATGTCAGTTCCAACATTTTTATTGAAGCTGCTGTTGAGAATAGTGGACACATTAATTATTACTAGAGGTGCTTTAATAATGCCGTGTATATACAAAACAGTAGGTTAAATCAAGAAAACAATGTATTACAGAAAAAATATTGAATAGATGTTCTTATGTTACAACAATTTTCATTGGATATCATATTGTAACCACCTTGTATTCAGAGGGAATGTTGCCGATTCAACCAGTTTCTACTAACATCTTATTTTTACGTAATGCAATGCAGTAAGTTCAAGGGGGTAATGAAAAAGCCTATGTATATTTGGCTTAGAAATGGTATACCAGGAATTAGCGTGTTAGTGTAGGACAGGTAGATACACCAGTTAAGCTCAGTGCAATCTATCTAAGCTTATGGTAGGGACTCTTACCCTGGACAGGTGATTCCCCTGTCAAGGCAATGGTATGACATCACAGCAACAATACATTTCACCAAGGATGTAGACTTTGGATGAGAATCAAGGTTTTGTCAAGGTTCTGAATCCAAGTTCTATACCAAGGGTAGAATATCCATTATCTGACATACTATTTTGGTTGACATTTTTCTTTCACCTTCTCACACAAATGTAGCCTGTCGCCATCGTGAGGTCTTGTCACTTTTTCTTGGCAAGTACTAAAAAGATATTTTTCACGTTTCCTCGATAACCTACGGTCACTGATAGTGCCCTTTTAATTTTTGATTGATCAGATAAACAAATGGCAGACACAGTCATTTTGGATTTTGGAAATACTGTTGTAGCTATTTCTCACTTGTTATTAGATGGATCTTAGGTTTTCATATAATAAAGAGCAAAAACAAAGAAAAGAAGGAAAGATTAAACTTTTATAGACCAAGTACTGATCAAACAATTTTGAGAGCAAAGATCTGTCTGGGATATCTTCTTTAATGGAAAATGGAAACCCTAAGGTAAGCCAAATGGATTAATCATGGATATTAATATATTACATCAAATACTTGTAAACTGTGGATGTCCCTGGAACAAGATATGACAGATTATAATCAGCATGGGGGAGAGGTGCAGATCGCAAATAAGTGCAATTCAATATAGTAACCAGTTGTGAAAGCTAGTGAAAAATTGGTTAGATATGCATGCTGGGGCCAATTAAGACAGGTTTTACTGTCATAAGTTTGATCGATCAGTATACTGGAAACACACTGTTACAGATAATCTGTCGTAAAATATATGTTAAATCTTTATTTTTTTTCTACCATTTAATTTACTATTCCATGACTATTTATTACACTTCGGTGTCAAAACAAGACTGCTCGAGGTACAATTCCATTCCAATTTGCTTGTATCTTATCCAATATTCACAAGAGCATCATGAATACTGCATCTTTGATAAACATGATATTGGACTCTTTCGCACTTGACATGTGTCTATCAAATATAATAGGCTGAAATAACGCACTGTCATGGAATACTCCAATCAGGGTGCAATTCAATGTTAAATAGTAAAAACATGATCATTAATAGACCTATCAGAATCAGATACAAAATTGAAAATGTAACAATACAATTGGATGTATGTTGTAAATAAAAAAATGAAAATATGATAAATAGAATCAAATGTATATCATTATTGAAAAAACAGAAAAAGTCATAATATAATTCACTGTATATCATTAATACAAAACTGAAAATATAATAATATAATTAAATGTATAGAAGTTAACCACGTCAGATTAAAGTGTTTCCGTTTAAATGTACACTTAGATACTGACCACATGTATCTTTCAATGTATGGAGTCAAAACTCTCCCTTTTTAGGTCGCCTGAGCCAAAGGCTCATGGTGACCTACTGCCATCATGATTTGTATGTCATCGTGCGTCGTTAACTTTTCACATATTCGACTTCTTTTCAAGAACCATTGGATGGATTTTGACCAAACTTGGCATAAAGCATCCACATGGGAAGCCGCTTCAAGTTTGCGAAGGAAAAGGGTGTGGCCCCAATAGGGGCAGCAGGAGGGGGGAAAAGGGGGTAAAATTAGGTAAATATTTAAAAATCTTCTTCTCATGAACCAACAGTCAGATTAAATTCATATTTGATATTTAGGGTCCTTATGGCAAGGTCTACAAAGCTTGAGAATGAAAAAAAAATCGGGTTAAAAACGGCCCCGCTAGGGGGCGCTCAAAAAGGTCGAAAATTCAGTTTTGACCGATTTCAACCAAATTTGGTTGATCATATCCCTTAGTGAAGGACATATGAAATTAAGTTGAAAAAAGTGATAATGTCCCCTTAGGGGCCCATAAGAGGTGTAAAAGGGGCCATCTGTAAAAACCTTCTCTAAATGACTTCTTTTCAAGAACCAGTGGATGGATTTCTACTCACGAACCACTGAGTATCAAGGATGGCTCCAGGGGTGTAGAGAATGATAGTGACCGTAACATCTGGAGTATCGATGATGGCTCCAGGAGTGAAGAGAGCGATAGTGACCGTAACACCTTGAATATCGAGGCTGGTTCCAGAGGTGTAGAGAGCGACAGTGACCGGAACACCTGGAGTATCGATAATGGTTCCAAAGGTGTAGAGAGCGACAGTGACCGTAACATCTGAGTATCGAGGATGGTTCCAGGAGTGTAGAGAGCGACAGTGACCGTGACACCTGTAGTATCGATGATGGCTCCAGGGGTGTAGAGAGCTGTAGTGACCGTAACACCTGGAGTATCGAGGATGGATCCAGGAGTGAAGAGAGCGATAGTGACCGTCACACCTTGAATATCGAGGATGGTTCCAGAGGTGTAGAGAGCGATAGTGATCGTAACACCTGGAGTATCGAGAATGGCTCCAGGAGTGTAGAGAGCGATAGTGACCGTAACACCTGGAATATCGATGATGGCTCCAGGGGTGTAGAGAGCAATAGTGACCGTAAGACCTGGAATATCGAGGATGGTTCCAGAGGTGTAGAGAGCAACAGTGACCGTAACACCTGGAGTATCGAGGATGGCTCCAGGAGTGTAGAGAGCGATAGTGACCGTAACACCTGGAATATCGAGGATGGTTCCAGAGGTGGAGTGAGTTATAGTGACCGTTACACCTGGAGTATCGATGATGGCTCCAAAGGTGGAGTGAGTTATAGTGACCGTAACATCTGGAGTATCGAGGATGGCTCCAGGAGTGAAGAGAGCGACAGTGACCGTAACATCTGGAGTATCGAGGATGGTTCCAGAGGTGTAGAGAGCGACAGTGACCGTAACACCTGGAGTATCGAGGATGGCTCCAGGAGTGAAGAGAGCGATAGTGATCGTAACACCTGGAATATCGAGGATGGTTCCAGAGGTGTAGAGAGTGATAGTGACCGTAACACCTGGAGTATCGAGGATGGTTCCAGAGTTGTAGAGAGCGACAGTGACCGTTACACCTGGAGTATCGAGGATGGTTCCAGAGGTGTAGAGAGCGATAGTGACCGTAACACCTGGAGTATCGATGATGGCTCCAGAGGTGGAGTGAGTTATAGTGACCGTTACACCTGGAGTATCAATGATGGCTCCAAAGGTGGAGTGAGTTATAGTGACCGTAACATCTGGAGTATCGAGGATGGCTCCAGGAGTGAAGAGAGCGACAGTGACCGTAACATCTGGAGTATCGAGGATGGTTCCAGAGGTGTAGAGAGCGACAGTGACCGTAACACCTAGAGTATCGAGGATGGCTCCAGGAGTGACGAGAGCGATAGTGACCGTAACACCTGGAATATCGAGGCTGGTTCCAGAGGTGTAGAGAGCGACAGTGACCGTAACACATGGAGTATCGAGGATGGTTCCAAAGGTGTAGAGAGCGACAGTGACCGTTACACCTGGAGTATCGAGGATGGCTCCAGGGGTGTAGAGAGCAATAGTGACCGTAACACCTGGAGTATCGAGGATGGTTCCAGAGGTGTAGAGAGCGATAGTGACCGAAACACCTGGAGTATCGAGGATGGCTCCAGGGTTGGAGTGAGCGATAGTGACCGTTACCCCTGGAGTATCGAAGATGCATCTACCAAGATTACAAATTGTTTGTGTGTTTTTGTTTTTGTTTTTTTTTTATTTTATCATTATTTATTTTCAGTCAGTGGCAATAGGATGGCTTTAAAATTCAGCCTTTTATGTTTTATTTCAACAAATATACCTTCTTTGATGTATGGATCGCCAAGCACCTTGATTACAACAGACATAACTATTGTAATCACTATACACAGTAGTTGATATCAAAACGAATCAGTACTTCAATTGTCTCTTTTCACACACCGACAGGGAAGGGTAATGACTTTAATGTTATGATCACAACAAGCAACTCAGTTTTGCACCTCCTCCCAAATGGACCCATTACATATAAGTTGTATTTTTCTAGTTGTTTAAATATTTGGGAGTTTTGTCAAAATCTTAAAGCAAAGAAGTAATTCTACAAAGAACTAGTTTTCTCTGTAAGTTTGAGGTGTTTCTCGGGATGTTTAATTATCATCGAAAATAACAAATAAATTAATCCTTTAAAAACAATCATCTTTAACTGACTACTTTATATAAAACAATAAATCCCAGTAACTATATCTCCAGTATTACTGAATATGGAACAGTGAATATTTCGTTTCTATTAATATGTAAGACGTATATGTCATTCAGTGTAATAAATAAATGCAATTACGAAAAAATATGAAATCCTCACATTTTCAATGGGACCATATGGTTATGAATCATGGATTATCATTTGATATGCCAATAAGTACACGACTTGGTTAATTTGTAACATCTTGCTGGAACGTGTAGTGCCAGCAAATGTTATTAATTTATCACACAAAGAATGAAATTCAATCGTGTGAAGTGAATTCAGATGAACAGAAAACCAATTTAATCTTGAAGGTAATTGATACTTTTTGTATTTAGCAATTAAATAATACT